TACGGTTTTTGGTCGCAATACTCACCCCTAATGAACAGTGTGTACGAACATTAGAGCATGTTTGAATGGCGTATGAGAACAGCGGAGCTTGTATGAACAACGAAGCATACATGAATGGTATGTATGAACGAAAGGGCACGTATGAACGGTGCATGTGAACAACAGAGCATGTATGAACGACAGAGCATTTATGAACGACGGCTCCGGAGCACGTATGAACGATGGAGCATGTGCGAACAGCATGTATGAACAATAGAGCATGTGCGAACAGCGTCACCTCATGTTGATCATCGCGGCAGTCATGTTGCGACAGACGGTGCTCGCCTCACTCGACGTGTGCTGCAGACGCTGCCACGCAGCCCTGTCCTCCATGAGGCAGCCCTCAACGACGCTGCGCAGCTCCCGCTCCTGTAACACCTGCTGCTTCATGCTTTCCAGCTGCGCACACACCTGCAATAGTTAACGTAGCTGTTACACTTGTAATAGTAAGTCTAGTTATAACACCTGTAATAGTTAACCTAGCTGTAACACTTTTAATAGGTGATCTAGCTATTACACCTGTAATAGGTGATCTAGCTGTTACACCTGTAATAGGTGATCTAGCTGTTACACCTGTAATAGGTAATGTAGATATTACACCTGTAATAGGGAACGTAGCTGTAACACCTGTAATAGGTAACGTAGCTGTAACACCTGTAATAGGTAACGTAGCTGTAACACCTGTAATAGGTAACGTAGATATTACACCTGTAATAGGTAACCTAGCTGTAACACCTGTAATATGTAATGTAGCTGTTACACCTGTATTAGGTAACGTAGATATTACACCTGTAATAGGTAACGTAGCTGTTACACCTGTATTAGGTAATGTAGATATTACACCTGTAATAAGTAACGTAGCTGTTACACCTGTAATAGGTAATGTAGCTGTTACACCTTTAATAGGTAACCTAGCTGTAACACCTGTAATATGTAATGTAGCTGTTACACCTGTATTAGGTAACGTAGATATTACACCTGTAATCGGTAATGTAGCTGTAACACCTGTAATAGGTAACGTAGCTGTTACACCTTTAATAGGTAACCAGACATGATAGGTGCAGTATCTTACCTGATGGAGTTGAATGGCCATTTCTTGCATTTCCGCCTCTAGCTTATCCGCATAAGCCTGCTCCGGCGCATTAGTAGAGAGCGGCACGTTGCTATGCCAACGGGCAATCGCCGATGTCATCTTTCTCCTTGGACCAAATAATCTGATGTACAGATTACACAGAAAATCTTACAAACTCGCGTAGTTTAATAACCGTTTGACACAGATTTATAGCTGATGACATGCACGATAATGCATTGCTGAACTAACGGTGATTAAAGATGGAATCTCCTGTAAAGATCTCTATCATGAACACACCCCATCTCTCAAACCTCATGTAGTATGGTAAGTAGAGATAATGTATCGACCGTGTGCATCATACATTCATGTATGCCTGAGCGTGTGCGTGTGCTGTGTGTGTACGTGTGAGTCTGCGTGCATGAGCTTGGTGTGTACATGCGCGAACATTTGTGCATGCGTGCACGGGTGCATACATACACGCGTCTCTACGCGTGCACAACGAAGTGCGACTCACTTGCCCCAACTCACTGTACTTACTGAATTCCAACCTCCTTGAGATCGTTTTCGGTGAGTGGTGAGACAGCTGGCAGGTCAGTCCTTGCTCGCACGAGCACGGCCGTGATACTTCGACGCCCCACCTGTCTCAGAAGACGCCTCAAGATCCTGCTGCTGCTGCTCGCTCCCTGTGCTGCCGATGCTCCTGGCTGGTGGTGGTGCTGCTGCTTGCTGCTGCTCCTGCTGGTGGTCTGGTGCGCTGCTGGCTGCTGGCCTGAGTGTGATGATGGCTGCGCTGCTGCTTCCTGCTGGTGGTGGTGCTGCTGCTGCTGCTGGCTTGGTGGTGATGAATGCTGCTGCTGCTGCCGGCTCCTGCCTGGTGGTTGGATTGCTTGCTGCTGCTTCCTGCTGGTGGTGAGGCTGCTGGCTGCTGCTTGGTGGTGGGTTGAATGCCTGCTGCTGCTGGGCGGTGACGCTGTTGCTGCTGGTTGGCATGATGGTGGTGGTCCAGCCTGTTGTTAGTTGTTTTGCTTGCTTGCTGACCTCCTGGCCGACTCTCCTTATGCGTCCCCCGGTGGGCCCCCAGGTTCGACTTGGGCCGGCGTTGGGGCAACGTGGGTGCGGGGGTGATCGGGCGGTTGGTGGGCAACAATAACCCCGTGGAGATCGC